GAAGTCAAACCAGACTTATATTCAATTGATTGCATTTTATTATTACTTTACAATAAATATTATTTAAGATAATGAAATACAATATTTAATTATTATTGTCAATAAAATCAGCACTTAATATACAATATTATTGCTTTACTTTTATATGTTTAATTATAATATAATAAATTCTATTTATTAATTTAAATTGTAAACAATTATGTATTTAAACTTTATATTTATTTAATAATAATTTTTAGGTTTTTTTTAAAAATATTCTCTTATAAGACCTATAAAAAAATTCTAACAAAATATATGAGATTCCCTATCAATGAATGGTTTGTTTTTTTTTAATTCAAACGCCTATTGCTTACTGATGTAACTGTAAGTGAAAACTAATAAATACTATACAATACACTGCAAATACTATATATTTTATAATTCATTTATTAAAAAGGTTATATTTGTTTGACTATAAATGTATATCACACTATGCATTAGTTTTTAAAAATTTATAAATGTGTTTTTAACTATAATAAATAAAATAAATGTAATGCAAATGCAATGCAATACAAACAACATAATTTTTATACAATAGTTGTTAAACTTTTAAAAAACTCATTTTTACTAGTTTTTCATTAATAATTTAATTAAATAAATTAAGTTTTGATGAATTTTTGTCTTCAATGCAAACATAATCTGAAAATGAAAGCAAAACCCCAAACATTAATAGTCGTGACTCACATCACATCTGTTTGAATAAAATTACTGTTCATTTATTTACTTTTCATTAGTTAACATCTAATGGATTTAAGTTTTGCTAAAATTAATATTTTTCAAAAAAAACTTTGTTTTAAATAGTTTGTCAATTTTAATGGATTTAAGATCTCAAACTAACAAAATTAATTAAAATTTATTTATTTAATAAATATAATAATAAATAAAAATATATATTTATTAATAATAAATATTATATCATATTTTATACAACAGAGTTTTGCAATTGTTGGTTTAATTATAAGTTTATAATTTAAATATAAATAATACTAGTTGTCAAATTTGTTTTTAAATTTATTAATATAATAAACAGATTTATTTATTAAGCTAATAATTAGTATGAATATTGCATTTGATTAGACATTTGATTTGCTATTAATAATAGATAAAAAATTTGTGTCCGGAATCCGAATCACAGCAAAGTCTATCTCTAGAATGTGTGAAATACAATGTAATTGACATAAGAATAATGTCATAAATGTCATTCATTTCAATCAACATATAGTGTTATTTTACCACAAATATACTTAATTGTATTTCAATTAGTTATTTAATATTAATAATTTTCATTTTGTGATATATTGTAATCATTTTTACATTGAATTAGCTTTTTATGTGTGCGAGAGATGTTTATTTCTGAATAATTTTTGTCAAATAAATTGTGTGTATTATAATAATATACATATTTTCACACATTTTAATTCCCTACTTTCTGGTGATTCCGGGACTAAATTTAATAAACACTGATATATTTAATGATATATTTTTACCAAAATAATATTTCCTGCTAATTAATAAATAAAATAACTTAATAAATTCATGTACTATTTTAGTATGCATTCAATTATTTGCTGTATTTATATTGGCTATAAATCATAATTTAAATAATAATATTTCAATGACAATTTTTAATTAAAACTCATAAAACGTTGAACATATATTAATAAATTATATTAATGAAATCATAAAACAATATTATTTAAATAAAAATATGTTACAACAAACAATCAGCATATTTGGTATAAAATACTATAAGGTAATCACAACAATAGCTGTCATCGTTTTAATGAATTTTCAAAGTTAATTTTCTTAAAAACTAAAGACAATTAAATAATAAAATTTTCACCATCATCTTCAATAATTATTACGCAATGTATATAGAAATTATAATTTTTATTTTTAAAGTATTTCTTAACTATTTTAGCAAAAAATGAAATTATGTCATTTTTGACATAACCTTAAATTATTTATTTTAAATACACTAGACATTTTTTTATAATTAAAATCAAATGATATTTTGCTAGTAAATTAACAGGGTTATATGGTGAATAAACATTAATTTTTAATACCTACTCTTTCAACCATTTTTTTAGTCATTTAGTAACACATTTTAAAATAATATTGTGATAAAAGATTATTTCAGCTATTTTTTATTAAAACATCATTAAATTTTATCAAATCATTTATAGATTAATGCATTAAATGTTAATTTATATAATAATTATTAAACTGATAAATATTTTTAATTTTTTAATAAATTATCTTATAAATATTGCAATTTACTAAAATTTGATGATTAATTGCCAAAATTTTATAATTATAATTCACTTAGATATTCTATTTTTTATTAATCATATTTAGAGACTCATATAATTATATCTTATACAAAAAATCTATTTTATCTTACTTCAAGACTAAGTTATAAATAAAATTAAAAAATATTTCATTTTATTCAGCTTATAACAAAAAGTCATTATTTAATTTATAAGTATTTTTTACTAATTTATGACAAATAATCTAAAACAATGTTATAATAAAAGATGTATATATTGTCTAATAGAGGACATAAAAAATTTGATTTTTAACTTTTATTTAAAACTTAATTATCGCTTAACATTTATCTCATGTTATTGACTATTTATCGTCTTTAAAGTGTTAATTAAATCTTATTAATTTTTGATAATTTTTTAAATAATCACTTAGGTAACCTCTTTATAATTGTGAAATCATAAATGATAATTTATGATAAAATCATATAAATAATAATTAAATTAAAAATTTATGATTTGTAAATTTTGGATCATATATATTAAATTGGCCATTTTATCTTTAAAACAAATAATTTTAAAAATTTTAATTATAAAAGTTAAAGACACATAACTATTTTATTTTAATAAAAAAGAATTGCATTTTTATCATTAACAGTAGCTTCACAGGAATAACTTAAAGTTGATACATTTCAGTGTGACAGAATTTTTTGTGGTTATCTTATATTTATACAATATATATATATATAGTATATATTATATACATAACTATTTTATGTTTTTGAAGCATACATAATGATACCAATGATGTTAATGATAAATAACATTTAGAATAAAGCATATAAATAATGTCCACTATTCTTGTATAGATATAGAATAGAAACTTACAGAAAAGTTTATAGAAAATTTCTGTGTAAATTTAAGTAAAATCTCAAAATTGATAATTTTAAATAATAGGATATTTGTGTAGCGTATTATCTATTAAGTAATTATTATAGTATTTATTTTAATTAGTATTTTCATATAACAATAACATAATCAGTATTCTACTGTATTATTACTAAATAAGTATTTATAAAACTTGTATTTTGTATTTTTACATTTATGTTAATATGAAATAACTAGAGAATAGAGAATAAATTTACTAAATTTGCCGTATATTTGAAAATTTGTGATTCTTTTGGAAAGTAAATCACGTCTTTAAAGATTTCGTGTTTCAAATGAAATAAATCTCTATAACTGAGACAAACTCAAAATTAAATGTATTTTATAAACTAAAATATAATCATAAAAATTATTTATTATCAAATAATCAAATTATTTTGTATATTATTATGCAATCTTACGTATAAATATAAAAATATCTAAAATATATTTTTATTTATAAAAATTTGATACAATTTATGAAAAATGAATGGATATGCAATAACTATATTTGCATTTTATTGTTTAAACTTAAATTTCAATCAAAACCAAATTGTTATAAATTTTGCAATCAAATATCATCTATAAAATATAAAATACTATAGTATAATAAAATTGAAAACTAAAAACTATGATATAAACTAAAATTCAATGTTTTTAATGCGATCCTTACATTAAAGTTAGACATATATTGTATTAGATTGTATTTATCTGTAATGTAAATATTGGTTTAAGTTTTGTGTCTCTTTAGTTGTATTAGTTGTTTGTGTGAAGACATGAGAAACATGAAAGACATGTAGAAATGAGCCGTAAATGTAAGGCAGAGATCGCACACAAAATGAACGGATCAGAGGAAACATTCAATAACTGAATCACTGTATGAGTCGATGCCTTGGATTTGCTGTATTAAAGACCATTGAATTTCTTGTATATATCTTCTCTCTCATGGATACGCTTTCAATGGCAATATAAGGGGACAGTACTGTTAAACTATGTGTGCATACGTGAGCCAAATGATAGCAGTGTCTAATAGTTTACTTAAAGCACAAATCCTCACATTTTTTCTTGTTTTAACTGAAAATATACTTTTTTATTACATATATTTATTTCACTTTCTATTTCACTCTAAGAAACTGTTATCAAAATGATATGTTTGCTTAGTTTTAGCAGCAAAACGAAGTTTTATGTTTTAATAAAGCAATGTTTGCTGAAAAAAGTTTGAATTAAATAAAAATATATAAAATAATAATGAATGATAAATAAACGTAAGCCCATAAAAGTGCATATTGGATAGTACTTCAATACTTTTAGGGATTTTATTTGAATTGTTTAAATATCTCAAACTTATTATAATAACTTTTTATTAACAAATATTAAATTATTTTTAGAATTTTATATATTTGATACAATTTTATACACTACTAAATACAAAGTTTTCATTCATTGGTTTTTAAATCAAAATATAAATATATAAATATAAATTGAAATAATATTTCTATTTTTTCAGAAATAAATAATAATTCGTAAATAACTATTTAATAGGACAATATTATAACATGCATTTTACAATATATTTATATTAACATTTTTTATATTTCTATTTGTAATATTATTTTTGCTAAACAGACACATTTAGTGGCATAAATTAATAAATGTTACTAATATAATCAAATCAATTATATTTTACTGTATATAGCATAATATACACAAATCTTTAATTATAATAATAAAATAAAATATAATATTAATATTTACATTTACATTGTTAAACAGTGGTTCACCAAACATATAAAGTGCAAGTCTATGACGAGTTTGTGATAATGGGAAACACAGGTGTCATGAGATGTCAAGTGCCGACATTTGTTAGGGAATACGTCAAAGTTATCGCTTGGATTAAAGATGAAAAAGTTATCACAACTCTTATGTCACCAAAAGGTTTGAAAATTTGCATTATTTCTAGTGTTGGAAAAAAGAGAAATTTCTAGAAAGTTTCTAAAAGAAATTTCTGTCAATGTGATGCCTATGTTAATTTTGTTCTCTCAATATTTGTCATATTCTAACAATACATTATAATCACAAATAATAACTAAATATTATTAATAGTAGTTTAATAATATTGAAGATGAAAGAAAATAAATGTAAAAACTAAAAATATAATTAATTGATAAGTAAAATTTTACAAAAACTATAATTATAATATTTCTATATAATTATATTAATTTTATATATAGGGATCGCATACGTATAGTTGACTAGTGTACGTAATATATGTCTTATTAATATAGTTCTACAATATGTATAAATATGGGTATCCCATAATGGGTAAATGGGATTCCCATAGTAAAATAATAAAGTAAAATATAGAAATTTTCTCAGAGAAATTTATTAGAAATTTTTATTTGTCAATCTCTAATTATTTGACACCAAATCAATTTCATACCATTACTTATCCAATGTTAGTCAATATGTTTAATCTATATCTATATTTTTGATGACTTTATGCCTACACTTTCTCTGATATTTACAAGAAGGGCGTATCTCTCTGTTGTTTAATTGAGAAATTATAAAAGTATTTATATTAAAGTACAGTATATATCTATAAGATGTCTACATTTGTTTGATCACTCCTAACCCTATTTATATGGACACCCATTAAATATGTTATTATACATTTGTTTTTTATTAACTAAATGTCGACTATATATATATAACTTACAATATTATAAATTATTTTTTAAAGAAATAATTTTCTAATTATTTCTTGGAGTTCATTGAATTAAAAATCTAATTATCTCTGGGAAATGGGATTTATAACGAGTAGTGGTATCTATTAATGTGTGACCATTATTATTATTATTACTGTATATATGTTTTGGTTTGAATTAACTAGAAAAACAACAATAGACATTATATACAGTGTTTTATGTAATATAATATAATATAATAAAATATAATATAGAGTATAATATAATGAGGAAAAGGATTATAATTATTTTCGTGATCTCTAAGACAAAGACTAATGTTTTACTATCGCTCTGTTGCATAACATTTGCTTAAATGTCTATCAAAACTAAATTAATTTTCTTGACTTTTAAATAATTTTTTATATAAAAATATAATAAAAAATTATTCAAAAATCAAAACAACGACAACATTAAAATGAATCTTATATTCTAAAGATAAATACAAAAAGTAATATTCATTTCAAAATTGTTTATATTTATACTATAAATATTAATTTAATACAGAACTTGTTAATAGAATTATAGTTATTTTTTAAATTAATTATCCTCTATATATATATTGCATTATATATATGGCACAAAATATAATCATATATCCGATTATTAATATTAGTAATATCTGATACATTATATTAGCAGTTAATAACATTTATTATGAATAATGTTAAACATGAGTTGTCTTCAGGCAAACCGTTTTTATCATTTACAACGCAAAGAGAAATAAGTTTTACTATTAATGAATCGCTTGATATGAGCACTAATAACATGTGAAGACTTTTATTTAGACCATTAGGGAGACGGCTATATAATATTCATCAGATATTCTTAATATACTAATTGGAAATGCCTTAAGCATATCATTCCTCATTGCCTATCCTTTGCCATATATATACAGTATAGTGTATATGATATACACATCCATACATCCATACATCCATACATCCATACATCCATACATCCATACATACATTACATACATCCATATACTGGTAGTATCCTTATTAGTCCAGTACATCACTACATCATATATGCGACCAATTTTTATATCATATGTATAATTCAAGGGAAATATTTAACAACTTATGCATTCATTCGTTCATTATTTATATGATTGTCGTTTAAGTGACTTATTTTTTCAATATATTGATCTATCAATAGATAAATAATATATACTTTACATATTTTATTTATTTAAACATTTTCAATAATAATATTTTATTTAAGCATGATAACTTTACAAAATACTTTATTTAATAACTATAGTATTTATATACTAACACTTAATTATAATTTATTAATTTAATTCTTTTTGTAATTTTGGAAAACAATAGTATAAATGCTATTCTAATAATAAAAATAATAAATATTTGTTATTATTTTTAGAAATATTTAAACACCTCATAAATCATTGTACACCAAAAAATGTTATTTTAGTTCTCAAGTGAATAGGTTTCGTATAGTTTTTGCATTGAATTGTAGTCAATAATAGTGTTTTATGTTATGCATTGAATTATGTTTGCGTCCAAAACAAAAAACTTAAAACAACTTTGAGTTTCGATTTTTTTCAATAAGAGTTACGTTTAAAAGATTTATAGATTTCATTGCAAATGATAGTTACGATCGGAGACCCAATCCTATGGAGAGTAAGTGAACGTATAAATGTGTGTGTGTTGTGTGTAGAAAAAAATATTATATATATATACTGTATATATACTGTATATGTGATATATTTATATATATAAAATAATAGACACTAAGTTTGATGTTTTATAAGAAAATTCGATATTTGAGAGTTAAGAGTGAAACTCAATTACATTGAATTTGCATTTTTTACACTCATTTTGCCCGAAGAATAGACATAAGAGTTTTATGTAAATATTTGGCGAAAATAAGTGATGATCACTGAAAAACTTGTGCTTCAAATATATACTATTAATAGCAGTGTTTTGTAGTATTTTCTAACATTTTTCACACTCTTTTAATACAAAAATTGTCACTTTTATCACAATAAATACATTAATGATTGAAATAACGTCATAAATATTCAATGCATTCATTTGATATCTTAAATTGACTTTTTAAAACACTTTTTAACAGTTAAGTGAATCAAAAAAAATAATAATACTTAGTCTATCAATCAAATCAATTTTAATAATATATAAATAGATTTGTTTATAGACAATATAGCTTTTATGAAATATCAATGAAAGTTATTAATAATAAAACTTAGATCTGCTTCCTTATACAGTACATTATATCATATGTAACATAACACACACACACACACACACACACACACACACACACACACACACACACACACACACGTTTAATGTCAGTTTGAAAAAATTAATTTATTAACCATTAAAATATGTATAATTTGATATTTTGCTCACAAAATAAAATTCAACGACTTTTGTCTGACAAGTATCATATTATATAAAGCAATATATAGCACATAATATCATAATATTTAGTATTATTATGTTGTTTTTGTTTGTTAGTGAAAGTTAAAAGATGAAAAGTCAATATCATTTGGTATAATATGCAAAATAATGATCTTTTGATATAAATTTATGTTAATAATAATAATAATAATGTAGTTTTACTTTTGCAATATATATTATATGTTATATATGCTAATTATTATCAATGTTTGAGAATCATTTTACTTTAATTAGCATTTATACTATACTATAGCTTAGCACTAATACCCTAACAATATCTGCATTGTATTGCATTATTGTAAGCATTTATGCAAAACTTATAATTACTGTATACGTGTGTTATGTTTGTGAATATGTGTATAATTAATCAAAATCTGAGCTTTTCTCGCAATATTTACAACATTTGTTTTCATATTCATAGTCATACCATATTTATTACTATATAGTATTTATATCACATTGTTTAGATATGTCAATTATTTTTATTTCAAATTATAATAAATTAAAAAATATCACTTTCAAGTTTGTAGATAGTAAACAACCAAAATATTTTTTATAAATATTTTTTAATATTTATATTGTTGTAAAAATAAATTATTTGTAATAAATAATATAAAAATAAATATAAATTTATAGCAAAATAAATGAATTAATAATAAATTAAAGTAATATTTCTGACAGTACTACCAATATAGGATAAATTACTTTATATAATATTAAAACATAAGACCTGACAGCCATTTAAGTATTATCTTATATAATAAAAGTAAAAAATAGTGATTTATCTCAAATAAAAAAAGAGAAGCAAATATTATGTTATAACTTATAATATGTGTGAGTTGTCGGCAAACAAATAAGATATTATAATAATAAGTTAGGTTTAGTCCAAAAAAGTGTAATATTATATAAGATATGATGTGATGTCAATGAAATTATATATATATATATTGTACTGTATAAATATAGAATATATTATATTATATAAATTTATATACTGTATATACAAAATATATGAAATCTAACACTTTATCAGTCATTGATTGTCATTTACTGTTTAGGTATATACAGTATATTGTATATATATATAAGTGTATATATATATATATATAGATAAATATAATATTTATAGTGTAATAATTATATTAATATAAACATGATTATGAATATTGTTTCAAATTTAATCTAATTTATTTAAAATTTAAAAAATAATATAAAATAAACAAGAATTAATATGAAAAATAATAAATTAAAGTATTAATAGTATCATTGTTATCTAAAAATACTGTTTTATTATTATATAATTTTTAATATTATTTTAATTGCTAATATGTTATGTAATCAAATACAGTAAATGATGTGAATTTTTGGTCAATAATTTAAGTTATAATTAAGTTAAATATATAATAATAATAAATATGAGTTGTATCTACAGTATTATATGAGTGTAGTATATAAGTATTAGTACGATATTGTAGAGAGAAGTTTAGCAATGAGAGATATAGAAGAGAGAGAGAGAGAGAGAGAGAGAGAGATGCGTTTAGATAGTAGTGAATGAATGGACTCATTTATCTCACTTATTGGCGTCAAAAATATGATAAATATGATTTTGGCCGCAATGTAAAAATGGGTGTCTCTTTTTTATAACACTCACATACAAAATACACATACAATATATATCATTACACTATTTTATGCTATAAATATAAGCAAAATATAAAAATTGAATGAAATGAACAAAAATAGA